TTTATATTTATATTTATATTTATATTTATATTTATTTTATACTTTCACTTTCATTTACACGATTTAAATCCTACAAGATTCCTAGTTCTTCTCAAAATTTTGTCTTCTGAGATTTTCAGTATTTAGTGTAATTTGAAGCAACTTTATGGTTTGACCCGAGAAAGAAAGCACGTAGATGTAGGTTGGTGAATTTTGAGTAAAGCAAAAGCGTGGATATATCTGCTGAATAACGAAATGCTATTGTAAAATCTCGTCTAAATGGGTACCGCTGAGCAGAAGTGTACATTATGTAACAGTTTATTGTATTGTATTATTTTATTTTTATTTTTTATTATTTTATGGTTATTCAAAAGCGGTAGATTAACTAAAAAGTGAAGGTTTCTCAAGATTAGTTTTTTATTTACTGCTCGACATAGAGTGATAAGAGATACTGGATGCTATTTGTAGGTGATTGTAAAGGGCAATAACAAAAAAACTGACAACCTTTTCAGTGTTGGTCTCTATCTTACCCATTTCAGCCAGTTTCACATGACTGCAACGGCCTCGCCAGTGCAATTCATTGTTACTTTAACTGCTTCATCGTTCTTAACTTATTTAATTCTCCGCAGCACAAAACGTGGAAGTGGCGAATGAAGTGCCAAAATACTTTCCAATTACTCAATATTCTAATAGTTTGTGCCTTATTCTTATTTTTTTCCAAAGTATCTGTTTAGGCAAGTCAAGTAACTGTTTATGCGAGCTTAGTTATTTCTTCTAACCTAAAAATTTTTCTTTTTTATTACTCAGTTTTGTGAATAATTACCTCGCCATCGTTTCCAAACATTTTACAGAGAATAATTTCAACGCAGGCCGCCGAGTCAGTAAACCTCCTTATTAGCTTTGTGCTGTAAGTGGACTGAACAACCAACTTTTATCTTTTTTAGGCCGTTCCATTGCGATTGTATTGATGACACGTAGGGTTTGTGTACAATTATAGGTAATAAAGCGATCTATTTTGCAATATGAGGAACAGTTTTTCCGAGTTTTTTAACGGAAATTCTCAGACATGCTTTTGGTTTAGTAGGATATAATTGTAACCATAGTCGTTTGCTGAAAAATTGCAGTTCGTCAAGTGAAAAGGTTTTTCAGAAGGTCAAACTACTGGAATTAGGCCTTACGTTATTATGTCAAAAGTACCAATCAAACTTGCCATTACATGCAACAGAAAATAAATTTGCAAATTTGTTTCTCTTCGTTTCTTTTACAGACATCATAAATGAACCAAATAGATAAGCCTCTTTGATTTCCTGTCATGAAAATGTCACTTGTGTGAAGAATGGATATTGCTAAAAAGAATGTTTCTTTAGTGTCTTGTAGGTTCTCTAAAGTGATTTTTTCTAGGCTGTAGAATTTGTCAAAGATTCCTGGCCTTAGCAGTAACTACAGTAACAATAGTAAAAAAAGTCGTTTGTACTAGTGGCAAAACTGTTTTGAACAGAACTTTGCTGCTAACTAAACAATGATAAATGTAATTGCCTATTCTGTGCACTTGTTACGTTTTGGTTAGATGTAGAATCTGATGTAGAATTTTTATGTTTGAGATAAAGCTTGATTGAAGATATTTTAGAGCTAAATTTTAAAATGCAGTTTTTTTTCTACTGCTGCTTTAAATCTGGTTAATCGCTGATAACCAGTGCTACTCTCTTATTAACACATTAGTTTACCAACGCGGGATACTGCAGAATCTAATTATTAATGTTACTGAAGTGCTAAATTTTCAATTTTGCAAAAATTCTATTTGGGTGTCAATGCAATTGGGTTGTAAAGGGGTTTCTTAATTGTAGCCGGAAAAATATGGGACAGAAGAATGAAGAAAGTATGACGCTCAGCTATGAACAAAACCAAAGCGTATTCAGCCAGCTAGGTGCTGGATGTTATGTAAGTTTTTGCTCCACAATTTTCACCAAAGTTATTTTCAATTTACACGTTCCTAAGAAATTTGTCTGTCCAAAATTTTTTCAGTTTTCTATTACCTTATGAAATAAAAAGAATTTTTTTAAAGCTTTTGACATTTTAAGTGTTACTACAGAGCAGAAATATAGAAGACGTTGCTATGTTTATTAGCAACACTCTCAGTTTTTACAGTTATTGTTCGGCAAGATTTCTTCGTGGAAAGTTGCATCATATTAATAAAAAAGTTTTATTTATTTATTTATCACTTTTGTAGCTCGATGAGTAGTCTGTTTAGTAAGCATTTTTTGTACTTGACATTTAGAAACAAATACTTTCTTATTTTTGCGCTATATTATTTAGAATGTTTTTCTTCTCTTCTCATTTTTAAAAGCATTTATTAGAAAAATAGATAATTAAGTGAGTACTTTCAGTTCTCTTGTTTACATAATTTTTTTCAGATTAGCGTTTTTACATAATTATTCAAATTGTAAAGTTGAAATTTCGAAATAAAGTTTTTGGTGTTCAAAGAAATAGATTTTGTTACTGATTTTTTAAAAATTCTATTTGTTTGCTAAAACGTTTCACTAATAAAATTAGTTTTCTTTTTGAAATTATAACTTTTAGAGTTTGGCTACTGGCTTTGCAGAACTACTACAAAAGAATGCAACTGATGATAGTTGGAATAAGATTGATACTGGAGCGATTTGCTATGTGCAGAATTCTAATCGAAAAGAATATAGTTTGCGACTGATTGATCCTGGCTTCAACAGTAATCCACCGTCGGAAAAATGCAAAATTTTGATGTGGCTTTTTTTATGAATCATTACTGCTCTGTGATTAGCAATTTGATTTCAATTAAGTTCAGTTCTGATTACTCAAAGCATTACTCATTACTGAGCCAAACAGTATACTATATTGTATTCAGATCCGCAGATATTGAGTTCTCCAAAGACTACCCTAACCTGGTAACTTTCACATCTTCCGACAACCTCTTCTATGGTTTGAATTTTTCTCACAACAAAGAAGCTGGAAAATTTTTTGGTCGCGTACAGTATTTTCAAAATGGTGCATAAATTTGTTCTAAAGACTTTTAATACTGTATAAACTAAGAATTTTTTATTTGTTGGTTTTATTTGTAAAGATGATATAATTTAGAACGGCAAAAAACTGCGGTACAACAAGAAGTTCAACCGATGATGATTGAACAGAAAAGTGTAAGTAACAGAAGGTGTAAATAATTGGCAGTTCTTGATTTAACACCTTGTAAACCTTAGGTTTACAAAGGTTGCTTTAGATGCTTTTTAAAGTATATTATTAAGACAGTACGTACTTTGTAGGAAACAGTAGTAGCAATTTATATAGACCAGTTTTTTTTCAATATCTTTTTTTGATTTTATTAATTTATTGAATTAGGCTGAGGAGCGTAGTCCACTTTCTTTCGAACGGTCCTACGTCTCTGCTGGATTTACAAGTACTAGGAACGAAAAAAAAACTGGAAGGCCAATAATACCAATAATTAAGTTTATACTTTTGTTGTAAAACATAAAGCAAATAAAACGGTTATTTTATCTGTATTTGAAGAGTACATAGATACATTTCAAATTGTCGTTGTTCTTGGTCTTCTTAGTGAGCGATTCATTTATCGCAATTTTTAGACATGCATTCATTACAAGCAGAGGGTGTACATGGTGGATTTATTGTGAAAACGAATTTTGTCAACATATCGCCTGCAGGTTTCAAAAGAGACAAACGTGTGAAAGAGAAGAAAGAAGAAAAGATACCTAAAGCTGCTATCAGCTATCCTAAAAACTTCAAGTTAGCATTGTTTTTGGTCTTTTTTTTTTTAAATTTTTCTACACGTTTTTATGTCGAGTAATAATTACTTGTACGATTAATTAACTTTTGTTATCTCTTAGTGCTAGATGACTAAGTTCTTGTGCTGCTCAATTAAGAGGAACGATGCAAAGCAGCATAATTGCAAAAGTTTTCCCACTTGAAATAATTTTATTCAAAGCAAAATTTGATTTGCAAAAAAAAAAAA